AACCCCAATGTTGTTGAAGGTAAAAATGTATACAGTAGAAAATGACAGGATTGAAATGAGAGTGTAAGCCAGACAAGTCATGTCATTGGGCAGAGCGATGCAGCTGCCTCGGGCGGCATGTTTCAGGGTGGCAGTGGAAGTGGCAAAACCCTAACTCTTCTTCCTGAACTTCCCAGCTGTTTTCTCACTTGGAGAACAGAATAGTTTGGTTTTTTCTCTCTCACTCCCTCTCTCTCACCGTCCATCTGTGTGTGGATAGGTGGGTTTGTTTATGCTATAAATATATTCAAAAATTTGTTTACTTGTCCCAAAAAGAAATACTAACCACTTGAAACATAATTTTTTTTTCATGGAGAGGAGAAAATGAAAGCCAGATATGTCTGTGCAGTGTGCATAGTTCTATATTTTCATCCGTATGCATCCCATCTGCTTTACATTTAGGTAAAGGAATCTGTTTGTGCATTGATTTATTTTTATTTTTTTGAAGCACTTGTTTTTCCACGGCACTATGCCTGGTTGTTTATAGAATTTATGACAAGATGATCATTACATTTGTGGCTAATCGAGATTGGTTTCCTTTAATAAGGAGGTACAATGTACCAAAGTTGGTTCTGTCAGACAAAGCCTGATTAGCTTATTACCTCAGGATGAATTTCCCACATGGAATTGCTAATAATTAGCTGCGGATATAACTTGGCAAGGCTGATGGGAATAAGGCTCGATTTACATATAAAAGTCATGCTGTTTTGAGAAGCTAATTCCAGAAACACAATTCATGTTGAGTGGAGGTCAGGCTGTCGGCCTGCTTCACAAAGAGATGTGCAGAAACGGATGGTGCTCACATGGAAGCAAGACTTGTGCCTTTACTGGAATTTACTTGCTAGAAAGTGTATTTAGGATTTTGTTTTTTTTAAAAAGTCAGTCTCTTTCAGCATATATAACAAAATCAAGACAAAGACAAAAAAATATCAAAATTATAATAATAATCTTAGAACTTCAGAGCTGGAAGGGACCCTATGGATCATTAAGTTCAATTCCTGTCAAGGAGGCACAGTGGGAATTTAACTCCAAACCTCTGCCTCCACAGCCAGTTATCCAAACCACTGAGCTTTCCAGCAATAACGATGGTACATTAAGAGGTAACACTTTTCCCCAGTGTGACCTTTTGTGGGTTACAATCCACTTCCACTTTGAGTTTTATTATATTGGTATTTAGTATATGATGGCAGAGTATCTTCTACCACACCTTTCTTCCTTACAGGAACCAGGGTGTACAATGTACAGCACCTTTTAAGAAACCAGCTAAAAATGCCACATAAAATTATACACTCATCATCATAGGCATCCTTCAGTCTTGAGAGACTGTGGTAACGTATGGAGGACTTGGACCAGCGTCTAGTGTTTTGATGCTGTACGCGGAGTGTCCTCTCCAGGGCACAAAGCCTGGCTAAAATAGTATGGAGGATATGTTGTTACCCAAGCAGCAAATCCTCCTTCTCCACATCACTGATATAGTCCAATGGAAAGGCAAGAGCCAATACAACTGGTTTCAGCGACGTCACAGGAGTTGGCAGAATGACACGCACTGCCTCCGGGACTCCGGTTCCGGATTTTGCCTCGAGGTTGACTCCTGAAGCCTTTTCCATTGGTGGATATAGCCACAAGGCAGTGGAGGTTTGAAAATCAGACTTTTCCTTCTCCTAGATGGGCCGCCTTCCAGGACTGAACGAGTCCCACTTACTTGGCTGGTTCCCTCATGGCATGGACGGCGATGGCAGCGCCTCAGTAGGGGTTTGAAATCAGAGTTTTCCTTCTCCTAGACGGGCCACCCTCCAGGGCTGAATGAGTCCCACCTACCCGGCCTGTTCCCTCATGGCATGGATGGCGATGGCAACAATCACATCCACTTTCATAAAGCCCTTCCTCATCAGTTGGTCATTGCCTGTCTCAATGAAAATGCATTTGCCTGCTAGCGGAAAGACAGCAGGGATGGGGCTGGCTTAGCATCCTGTGAAGGGAATTTTGTAGCTTGGGAGCAGCCACCAAGAAGGCCCTGTCCCATGTACCCACCCACCAAGCAAACCTCTGGGGGTAGTGGGACAGAAAGAAAAGTCTGTTCAGAAGTTCTTAAAGTGCTGGAAAGGCTTGTGAGGAACGTGTGGTCCTTCACACAGTCTGGACCCGAGCTTCATAGGTGGTCACCATCACTTTGAATTCGGCCTGGAAACACAATGAGGGTGCATTGCTCTTGGATCTCTGGAAGCTAGCCCCTCTTTTATCCATCAAAGAACAATTTGTGATGACTAGAGATGGCCACAAATCAGTTTGTCAAGGTGGCAGCACAGCTGCTTCTACTCCTCTCCCTGACCTTCTCAAGTGATTCAGCCACTCTCCAGGCCCAGCTTGATTGCCTTTTCCCACCTTCTCAGCTGATCTCCCAGTGACGAGCAAGAGTACAGACTTCTCTGCCCCACCCTTTTCTCTGAGTGGCAGATCAGCCAAGAAGGCGGGGCAGAGAAGCCTGAGCTCTTGCCGGGACTGGGAGATCAGTCAAAGAGATGCTGGAAACTACCCCACCGGGTCTGGTGAGTGGCTGAATGAGTCAGGGGAGGGATCACACCAGGTCTAGTGAGTGGCTGAATGAGTCAGGGGAGGGATTGGTGGAAGAGGAGCAACAGCACCTATGCCTGCTGCCTTTATGAACTGGGATGAACTGGTTCGTGCCCATCTCTACCGATAACACTCCTACATCCTCAACCTACCATGACTTCCAATTTCAAG